CAGCACCGCACTCTCCCGAGTGAGCCACGGGCCGGCCCAATATATATATATATATATTTTTGAAAAGCTCTCATAGTGATTCTGATTGCAAACCACAAGACCAGATGATCCATAAGGTCCTTCCAGATTGAAGTATTGGTCCCTAGATGGGTGCTCCAAACTCAAATGCCTTTAGGGGCCAGAATGGTGGCATAAGTGAGTGAAACAGAGATAAGGTATTTGGAGAGTGTTGTGGTCTGTGTGCTCTGTCTAGAGTTATTAAGAATTTAAAACAAACAACCATCCCCTGATCTACCCCACCACTGGTCAAACAATACACAATCCAGCAGTAGCAGTTTTGGTAAATGCCTGCTTAGGCATTTTATCATGAGAGTCCTCAAAGGACAAGAGAAATTACTATGACCTTATGCTGTGATTGCCTCTTCCCAAGGGCAGATTTTTTGCCACCATCTCCACACATCTACATATCTATTCATGGCATCTTCTGTGTGTCAAGCACTGTGCTTGATGTCAGCCATACAGAGATGAATGGAACATAGTGCCCACCATTGAGCAGCTTACCAGGGAAGCAGGGAAGACAAAAACTAGAGTGTGAAATACTATAACAGAGGTAACAGAGTACATACTTCAGGAAGGCAGAAGTGGAGATAATCAACTTGGGTGGGGCATGAAGTGGCACTGCACTTCAAAGAAGAAACAATTTTAATGTTGGACCTTAAAGAATAAATAAACAGGAATTCATGTGATGTAGGGAAATATGTGTAAAGACAATGAAGTATTACAGAAAATAAAATGTCATGATCAGGAAATTTTTTTCCTTTTTGTCTTTTTCCGTGTCCGGCAACGGATCGCAACCCTTAGTGTCGCCCCGCACCAGACCAGGACTGGCAACGGGATTGCAACCCTCGGTGTTGCTCTCGCGCCTCGCTCAGCCAGTGAGCGGCAACCGGTCTGTATGTGGGATCCGAACCCTCGGCCGGAGCGCCACCACGCTCCCAAGCGGCGCACTATAGCAGTGCGCCACCGGGCCGGCCTGGAAAATCTTTTTGTACAAGTATGGGATTATATAAGTTGATCAGTGGCATGTGTGACAATACATATAACATTTTTAATAATTCTAAAATATGTTATAGGAGGATGTATCACAATTTTTAAATTAGTTCTCTGTTGATAGATACATAGGGTAGTTCCAATGTTTTATAATATGAGAGAACACTGTAATGAACTTGAAGATGGGACTTTAAATTTGTGTTTGGTCCCCCTCGCTTGACTTGTAGTTACTAATTAACCTTGATAGGTGATGTTTTAGTAAAGTCTGTATTTAACTTTCTTATGGTTTTATTAGCTGGGCAAGTGTTGAGGAAAACAGTTCATTCTGAAAGAACACTTAGGAAAATTACACTAGTACCTAGGGAGGGGTATCCAGCAATTAAAGCCTTTATTTTTCAGCCTGTGCTCCCAAAGGTTGGTAGCAAAAGAACACTTGGGGTGAGGGGATAGTAGGAAAGAGGGTTAAGATGAAGAAAGTTAACACAAAGTAAATGAAGTACTTGCTCTATTCTCGATTTGGTAGGGAGGGTGGACTGCAGGGCTGTTATTTATTTATTTATTTANGTGGGGCTCTGCGTTTCGGATCAGTGACGGCGGATTCCCAGCCGGCCGGCGTCGGGGCTGCTGGGAGGATGCGAAGCCCGAGCGCGGCGTGGCTGCTGGGGGGCGCCGTCCTGCTGCTCGCAGCCTCTGCCTCCTGTAATCACACCACCCCAGGTGAGACACTTGGCCGAGGAGCGCTCGTGCCGCTGAAGAGCTGGGGGCCCGGGCACGCTGGGCAGGTGGGGGAAGCCGAGCAGGTGCCCGCATCCCTCAGCCTCCCCTCGGGGGCTTTGAGGCGGGATCCCTGCGCCTGGGGGTCGGGGGGCAACCGTGTGGGACATCACAGAACTGCTGGATTCGGCAGAGGCCGGCAGGAGGCAGAGACGCCTCCAAAGACTTACCGCGCTTACCGGAGTGGCCCCTCGTGCTGGGCACCGTCAACCCCCAGCTCTCACTCGGTGAGAGGGTGGGGAGGGAAGGCAGGAGTGCCCACGTCTGAAGCGTACCCAGAGGACTCAGCCTCCCGTCCCCCGGGTTGGCTCCTTTGCAAACACTAAGTCATTAGGAGGTGTTCGCGCACCCTGGCGACTTCCTCCAGGCTGCTCCCGCGGGGCCCCTGGAGTTAACGAGTTGTGGCTCCTGACAGGGTGGAGTGGGTGGGAGCCCGCGGCCTGGAAACCTTCCATCTCGATTTTCACATCCCTCCCCAGCCCTTTCTTTTGGGGTCGGCCACGGCGTTGAAGACCCGCCCGGGGCCCGCAGCTGCTGGCATCCACGGCGAATGGCCCGGGTATGAAAGTCAGGGGCGGACCCTGCCGGGTTCTCGAGGTAACGAGGGCTCAGCTTCGAGTTGTAGGCCGGTTGGGCCTCACGTGCGTGAGGAGTGGAGCTTCTTGGACCCTGTCTTATATTCCACCAGGTGATCTTCTGGCCCTGGGATTCTAAGTCCCTCCATGTCACACTGGCACAAACTGGAGGCCATCCGGGTCTGTAGGCCGGAGGCTGCCAGCCCTGGGAACAGAACAGCAGGGGAGCCGTCGGGGCGGCGCTCGGGTGCCAGCTTGTGCGCGGCCACCGGGTTCCGCGGGTGTGCTCCTTGGGCTGTGCTGGAAATTGTCCTGCTCAGAGTGCGGTCCTCGGGCTGAACAGGCCGCTGCGGGCGTGGGGGATGTTCGGCCTGCGATCGCGCTTCTGTGATGCTTACTGAGGCCCCGCTGTCTGCGCAGCCTGGACAGCATTACAAGGGACGTTTTAATTTCCCTGCCAAATTTGCAGACCTGCTGCAAAAGGCAGTTTCTCCTCTTCTTCATAAAGACACTGTAAAAGAGCAAATCACAATGAATTGGAATTAGATTGAAAAGAATCAGATCATTCTTTTCCCTATGGGGTTACAGAAAATGGTTTTATGGTGTAAATTTGAGAACTGTGCATCACTGGTATACATTTTATTGGTCAGCATTAGAATAAAGGCATTTATTTCCAGATATTGAAAACTGATTAATACCTTTTCATTCGCCTATGTCTTCTAAAGTTGGAGAACTCAGGTGCAAAGTTTCGCGTGTGCAAACTTTTCTTTTTTAAAAAAATATGTGGGTGAAAATGATTCAACACTTTTATGATTCAGACAGTTCCTATAGGAAGCATACTCTGATTATTTTAGGTTGTTATTGTTTACACAGTGAGGGGCTAGGGCTGGAGAGATCTCTGGAGTATAAGGTGAACTTGATTTAACAGTAAAGAAAAATCAGGTTACTGGTTAACTAGAGCTATTTAATATTGCCCCTGTCCCCTGCATACTTTCATTCCTTTGCAGGGTAACTTTCCTAACGAATTAGTTAAGTAACACTAAGACTTTAGGTAGATGGAACTTTCCTCCCAACTTGAAACTACATTGATCTTGACAAGAAATAGCACGCCACTAGCCTAGGTCTTTGCTTATCCTTTTTAGCTCATTCCTTCTGTGTGCTCCTGTTTGCTAGGGGGCAGATATTGGGTTTGATTTTCTTCCTAAACTGTCACCTGCAAAGACTGCCTGATAGACATGAGCTCAGCCTAGAACACAACCTTCTCATTTTACAGATGAGAGACACTGAATTGGGAAGGGGGCAAGGAAAGAAAAACACTCCATCAGTTCCCTCTTTCCTCTCACAGTAGTAAAATTTGTGTAGATATGTTTGATCTGTCCCCACACTGTGTCATAAACTCCGGGAGGCTGGGGCCTTACCATGTCTCCATCCCATGTCTAGCAGTCTCATCATCTGAAGGATCTCAGTAGTAGCACATGAAGAATGAAGTGACCCCCTCGGCAAAGGCAGTGCGCTCTGAATGCAGTCAGCTCTTTCAAGTGCTCATTCTTATTCTTTCCACCAAGGCACAGGCCTGGTGGTCCCTGTGAGGAGGGCATTCCATCTCTCCTTGGGAGACTGGAACTTCTATTCCCCTTTGTAATTGGTTTTTTAATTATAAAAGTAATATGTGATCACTGTAGAGGAAAAATGATCCCCCCAAAAAAATTTAATTAAATCTCCCTAAACCTTAGTAACTACTGCTAACATTGTGGTTTATACCCCTCCTCTTGTTTTCAGATATCTGTGTATAAAATATGTATCATAAATATGGAAAATCTTTTCTTTTTTTTTTTTTCCTTTTTGTCTTTTTCCGTGTCCGGCAACGGATCGCAACCC